TCCTAATATCAAGAAGTACCATCTCAAACCTGTAACCATGATGTACTTTTCTGTATTTTAAAACAATTGCCCTTAAATTATCTCATCTCATCTCATCTCATCTCATTTACAGCCCTTTATTTTCCATTTCTGGGTCAGGGGGGTGGCAATCAGAACTGCCACCCAATTCACATAGCACCAGTCCCCTGCTGATCTTCGTGCAGGTGGTGGGTCCACGAAAAGATGGCTGCTCCTTTGACAGAGATGAGGCCTTGGTCTTTCAGCGGGGACTTCAGGCACATTGGGGTTAAGTGTCTTGCCCAGGTACACAACGACAGCGGACATCAGTAGGAGCAGTTGACATGGGTCATGGTGGGATCGAACCCACGACCATTAGGTCCAAAGACCAGTGCTTTACCAACTGAGCTACTGTCGCCCTTAAATTACTTATAGCAAAATCTCTGAAATTGAAATTACATGGTTTTCAATAGAAGGGCTGTGTTGCACCTAATATGTTTTGAATTTGAAAATAAAAATAATTCCTCTGGTGGTAGCATAGGAAATTGCATGTGGATAGTATTGTATATGACATTGTTTTACTGTAAAACATGGAATTACATTTTTTGAATAATACACCATGTTTCTTCTTTAACACAGAGTTCAAATGCATCTTTATTGTTCCACTGGGGAAATTGGTTTTGGTATCCAACATTCAAACCACAAAAGTTAAAAAAAGTAGTCAATCCATTTAACTAGTTACTCACTCTCAAAAAGTTCCTATTCAATTAATAGTTTTTGCATGCATGTTTTGTTGGCCTGTCACATCTTTAGTTTAGTTTTTTGGACAAAAAAGTGAAAAAGAAAAAGGACCACATCTTACTCGGCCAATCAGCTCTCAGCCCAAATCTTCAAAAGGTGACTTACACGTAGGGCGGGGCAATAAATTAAATGTAGGCAATTAATCGGCTTTTGAAAAAAAAACAAATTTGTGAAAAATGTTAAAATCGTGAAATCGAATGAAGGATATTGTGAGAGTTCCAGCAGCACATGAATTATACTTAAAATATCAACACAGTCTGTACAAGGCTTTTATAATACGTGTTGGAGGAAATTAAAAATAGTTTTGAAACTTGAATATTGGGCGGAAAGATCCAAAAATATGTTACGGGCAAAGTCTGTCTCCAGTGACTTTAATGAAAATCTATTTAAAATTTAAATCGTCCAAAGCAGGAAATAAAATTTTACTTTTAGATTTTACTTTTTTGCCATATCGCCCAGCCCTACTTTATAGATACAATAACATTCAAACTGCCCACTGTTTCTCTACTCAGTCACTTTGTCCCATACTCTCTTGCTGCTAACATGTACAGATGTATTATACTTGCTTCCTAAATGCCAAAAGGTAGGGATTTTATACTTTTTTATTATGCTAAAGTCAGAGTTTTTTGTACTCATTATGCTAGATAGAGATGTTATACTTGTTTCTTCTTCATGCTAGAATTGGAGATTTTTATTTTATTTTTAGTATAGAGTTATTGTTCATTTCTCTTGTGCTGTGTGCCACTCATTCCTACTGGTCTGTCACTGGTGATGCAACACTGACATTTCCCCGCTGTGGGACAAATAAAAGGATCTCTTAATCTATTAATCTCCCCCGACGCCAAACTGGGCACTTTCTAAACAGTTTCCAAAAATGTACAGCCACACTTCAATGGCTCAAGGCACAGTTGAGATAAGATGAGAGGACTTTCATTCGTCCCACAGTGGGGAAATTTCAGGTGTTTTACCATTTCAACAGTTACGGAAACACTTCAGATTAGCTGTGTGGGCCGGGGAATAGAACAAATTAACTCCCTTGACAAAGTGAAAAATTGGATTGAAACGTTTTCATATTAGACTCAACAAATTAGCACAAAAATGTAATTGAAAACGTAATAACTTGGAACTAAAAATGGATTCAGATTGTAGGAGGAAGTTTTGACGGATAAAACACACACAGTAATAATAACAAGTATAACAATAATAACATAATAACCTTTTTTTCCCTCCCGCTCTGCCTTACGGCCAACACACAACAAGTCTAACCAACCAGGGAATTACCTGAAAATTGGTGCAGCATGCGGAAACTGATATCGACCAGGACTCGGCTTTCAAAGAGAGCAATAACCAGGTTGAACTGAGAGAAATTAATACCTGTGTGGTCCAGTATTGTTTGCAGTCGACTTTTCCAAAACATAAAACCTAGGATTCACTCAAACTTTAAAATGTTGTGAATAACTTAAGCTGGGCAGGAGAGACGGTACATCAGGCTAATGGGGAATGTTTGTGTTCATGTGACGTCACACCATTACAAAAAGCCAATAGTTCAAAATTGTGGTGGAGGGTCGCTAAAAAATCTTTCCTATTCCTTTCTGGTAACTATAGTAACTGTGAAAGTCAGGTTTCTAGTCTAGGTTTGAAGCCAATTTCTCTAATTTCAGAGCCAAACCACATGAAACAGAAACGGTCACAAAGTTATTCTTTGTCAGTACATGTGAAAAATGATATATGGACTAATTATGTTGTCATTAAGGTGTGTAGAAGTGGTGACAATATTCAAAAGCATACGCATGATATTTTCCAAGAGAAGGGCCTTTCAAACCTGAAAATAATATGGAGAGTTTGTCATTATCAAAGAATCATTTGTGGAAAAATTTGGATTTTTCTTTAAACAAATGCTTCTTTTCCATAGAGTTGCACTGACACCCCGTGCAACTGAAATCGCAAACAATTGACAAAACATAGCTTTGTTTTTACATTCTCGCTGTACAGAAACTTAACCCTTTCCTTGAGCCCTTTCTAGTTTTCAACCGGAGTGAATAAGTGCCTAGAGTCGTTTGTAAAGCAGAGTTTGGCGATGAACGTGAATTATTTAGTGTACAGCTTTGGTTTGGTTAAGAACTTGTGGGCCTCTGGGGAGATACTGCTAGCGTGTGCTAAGGTTCACAGGGCCATTTCCTTCTTTTACAAGTTTGCAGTCCATCTGTGGTATCTGAGCGGGCGCATCGTCGTTACAGAAACCCTCCGATCCTGACACACAATTATGCCACTGACCTGCTGCAGCATTCACTTTTAGCATTATGTTTGTCCAATGAGAATTATAATGAGACAATTTATTCTGCGATTTCATGTTTTAGAATGTGAAATGTTATCTTCAGTAGAAATACAGGGTGAGACAAGTATCACAGGTAAACAAAATGCTATCGAACTGCTCTGTTCTCCATGCTACCACGAGAGCGAGGTGTAGATTTGGTTGTTTTTCCACATTTGAAAATTACAGATTGCTAACACACAAGCGATTGTGAAGAACATACATTTAGTTGGGAGAATGCCTGAACTATTTTGAATAATGCCAAACCATTTTGTATTACTGTAAAAGGCTGGAAATTGCCCCGAGTATATAATGACATCATATCAAGACCAGAGAGGCTTTTAGAAAGAAGGTGCAGAATTACACATTTGTTTCTAATATTAACGTGGATGGATCTCAGATCAACTCCAAATCTGTTTTTGATGAGTAACCAATGTTGTAACATGGTTTACAGCTTAATAATATGTGTCCCTTATAATTCTTGTCCCAGTGTAAAACAGATGGGTACTAGATGTGCTGGCATAATAAGTTCCTGGTTGAGTAAACAGGTTCAGCCGTCAGCTTGCCAAACCGGACAATGACCCTTTGATCTTCACCTATCTCTGTGTATGTGTGTACTTGTGTGTACTTTTGTACAAGGTGCGTACCCGTCTTGGTCAAGTGAGTTCTTCCTCATGTGGTCATTTCAGTCGATGCACCCCAGAGCATGACCTGACCCCTTCAAAGTCCAACCAGTCTCTGCATTATTCGCACAGACTGCAGAGATGCACCATGGGAACTGCTCCACTCAACAACCTGTACCCAGCATCTTCTGTTGATCTGATCCGGCCTCATGTGATTGGAATCATAGCTGTAACAATCCATTGACAAAACGCAACTACGAGTTTTTTTCAATCATCAACTATTTTAGTTAGTGGTTAATTATTAACTCCAAAAATGTATCGTGTCTAGTTGGGATTTGAAGATTCTAAGACGTCATTAACTACATAGAAAATCATCAGGAATAGGGAAAATGTCTCGTTTAACCAATTTATCGGTTTGCTAATCAACTCAACGGATTTTAAAAAGTTGACATTGGTCTCTATTGGTCAAGATTTTACTGATAATTTTTTAAGTTACTGTCTCTACTTAGCCTCCAACTATTTTTTTCAAACATCATCTCAGCCAATACAGACACGTTATACCTAATTTTAAAGCGTTGAATCTGTTGTATAACAATGTAAAGTCATCTAAAGCTGATGCTAAAACTAGCCCAAAGCAAAAAACACAAGTTCATCAAGCCAACTTGCATCCCTTCATCCATGTTCTTCTGCTTTATTCTTTGCCGAGTCAAGGGAGCAGCCGTCGATGCAGAGATTCCCAGACTTATAATCCAAATCAACTATTCTCTGGTGGCTTCACCTCAGATTTATCTAGCCCAAATGTATTTACAAATAATAACTGCATTCTAAACTAACTAAAAGACTGATCACTAAATAAATAAATAATCTAAAAAAAAAAAAGATAGTTACAGACTAAAATCTATTAAAACGGTGGCTCATAATTTTGTGTTTTATCTCCATGTAGCTTGTTCCACTGAAGCGGCAGTGGCTCCAGTCGGCCGCAGCAGTAAAGTAGTGATGGGTTGGTTATTAAAGGCTGGCAGGCGCTGAGCAGGCACAGTCACTCAACTGTTTGAGGCCTACAGAGGTGCAGCTGCGAGTCCACCAGTGACCAGCGCTCAGCTGAGAAGCCGGAACATGGAACAGACATACACCACACCCCGCTTCACTCCATTTCCTCTCCACAACATGCCTGACATTCTGGAGGAGCCAATGTACATTCCACACATACTTTGGTCGTGTAAGGTTGAATCGGAAGAGCAACATATCTCGCTTCAAGCTACACTTTCTTACACTTTTCCTGACAGCACAGTGACAGTGCTCTCATTGTCCTCTGTCACCACAGTGGGTTCACTCAGACGCCTGTGCCTCTGGATCAAGAGTGTGCTCAGGTGACCTGTAAGCCCACTCACATGGGTTTCCCTCAACGATCATCACACACACTATGGGCAACACTTGGTGCTAACATAAAGATGTTTTTTTAATTTGTATGTACATAATCCTACCCTACCTTGAGTATAGCGTGTGCAAAGCAAATGTGACCGCTGGCACATGTCCATTTTCACTGCTGTATTGAGTGACCTCAAGTTCAACAGCCGCTGGAACAGGAAGGAGAGGAGGCTGTCTTGCATACTTAGACCCAATAAGAAGCTTCTCACACTCCCTTCCACTTCGCTAAACAGGGATAGCAGTAGTGTAGGAATCGTCTATGAAGAAAGGGGTCTTCCTATCTTTGGAGCTGCATGTTAACCCAGCTTGGCAGGCACTTAGTTAGTGTGACAGTAGCAGAGCCGGGCGCCAACAGCACAAGCACTGTGCAGCATCGCAATGACCAGAACTCAGTGAGTCCTCTGAGGGCTACAGCGCTCCCACCCCTCCTCTCTATCCAACCACAAAGGCATTCAGCCTTTTCATTAGGATGATAATGGAGCAAAAGCCGGAAAGGGCCCCATGTCTATGTGCCATAACTTAGGCTGATGGCTTTGTGGTAATGTCATGATTGTTCATGGGACCATACTGTGTTGATACTATCAAACAAAACCAAATGGTTCCAGAAGAAATAAACAGAATAAACCAAACTTTTTATTGTAGAGACTGTACAAAGCACTGTTTGATAAGCTTTTTCACTCTAATCATAAACATTACAATACAACAATCTCAAGATTAACCAAACCAAAGCCTCCAAATGACAAGTTAGCCAGAACCAAAAACATAACATGCCCCTGCATGACTGCACTGTTCACTTTCAGTTACAGGTTTCAAAGAGACAGCGTGAAAAAACAAGTCAGAATCTTTTAGGTCAACCAAAACCACATTGTGGCTATTCTTTGCAGTATATAGAAAGAAATATTATATAAAAGCAAACTTACCTGCATAAAACCGCAACAAAGAGCCAATTTCCGTGTTCAGCCCTTCTTCTTGTACTCTCCAGGGATCCTTAAATCCAAGCTTAAATAGGAAGTCATTCTGAATCTGTAAAGGTCTCTCATCTGGTCTGAGCCTCCTGACAGCTTCTCCATGCAGCTGGACATACAACACAGGGCCAGAGTCTCCAGGATCTCCCCCTGTCAGCTGCCCCACATCTTGGCCACAGTCAAGCTCCTGGATGTCAGGTGTAGTACCTGTGGAACAGGCTGTTGACAGGGAGCCGGCACTGCTGCTGGGTGGCAATCTGCCCAGACCATGTGGGCTGTGTCTGCTATCTGCTCCCATATTGTTGGTCATGTCATTTAAATGCTCTATGCTACACTGCTGGTAGTTTCCAGAGACACCATTGGAGTGGTGTTGGGAATTGGACTCCGTATTTGTGCTGATTGCAGAGCATTCAAGCTCTAGCTCGTCAGAGGAGCTGCCATACAGGTCAGAAGAGGGGCTGAGGATGGACGCCTCTGTGCCCAGGATCATGTCATCACTGAGGGAGTCTCTGTGTTCACTGAGATGTGCCCCAGAGCTGAGGTCGTCATACGCACTGCTCTCCACATCAGAGCCAGAATTCAAGCCATAGCTGTCTGCTCCGTTTCTGCCCTCCGAGTCATCGTCGTTGGGGGTATGGATATTGCAGTTTAGATCGGACATAGAGCACGTCATATTGTCCTGTGATTCAGAATCGGGGCTGAAAAGTTTCTCATCAACGTCCTGTTGCTTTTGCCGCTCATTTGCATTCTCCATTAGCAGCAGCCTCAGCCTGTCACTCGGATGCTCCCGTAGTTCACTAGATCCAAGAGTGCACTTTAAACTTGACTCATCGCTCCGCTTGCAATGGTTATCGTCATATTCACTTTTCACGTTGCAGTTACCATTTTGGTCGATTTTGGGATTATCTTTAGAAAAAATGCGCATGACTGAAGTGGACTTACTGAGTTTACTCAAACGAAGCGCCAGCTCTCCAGCTGTAGTGTCCATAGTGCAAAGGACCGGCCTGGGATAAGACGGAGCGAGTCTGTCGTGGACGTGGACGGCTCCGCGGTGCAGGTCAGCGCGCACCCAGTCCCGGTCCCCGGGCTGGAGCTGCATGCATTGCCGGTGCTTGAGCAGAGTCTTCCGGTCGAGGCTGCGGGTGTGCAGGGATGCGGGGGACAGGGCCGAACTCATCTTGGTGGTGACAGCGGAGAGGTTCCTCTTTAGGCGCCTGCGTCTCAACAGGAGGGAGCTGGAGTTGTTGGATGCGCCCCGGCCGTTCGACGCCACAGACCGCTTTGACGCACTCGAGCCCACGGTGCTGTGCGGAGGACCCGTGTTCTTGGCATCTACGGGAGACGGTGCTAAATGTCCAACGCAATCGTCCGCTGGACTCCCCCGGGCAGCAGACAGTCCACTGGGCTTCTTCATGAGTTTGCCCGCGCCATCCTCCGCAGCCTGAGCACTTTCCATCTGTGCCATGAAAAGTCTCCCTCTCAAAGTAAAAACGGTGGCTGCCTCCCTCGGTTACCTAAAGGTCCTACATTGAAACGCCTGAATACGTGCCCACCGTGCTAAATGTCCGCCGAATGGGCGGTGTGCTTGAGTTGTCCGGGGAGTAGTCATTCACTTCGTGCCTGTTTCCCAGTGCGGTTCTCCTCCGCGGCTCGTACGAACATGTTTCCTCTGGAACCCGCTCTGGAGGCTGTACTCGCAGGGGCAGAGCAGGGCGGTGACTGAGCGTCCCATTTGGACCCAAACACAGCGCTAGAATATGAAATGAACGTCGGCCGACCTCCTACGCAAATAGTCACTAATATATATTCATGAGGACGACACAAGATGGGGCAGCTGACAACAACGCAGAGGATTGTGGGAAGTGTAGTACTCTTGTTTAACCTGTTGGGCTCGTGGGGCGGTTCAGGGAATACAGTACCCAGAATGCGCCTGGGTGGACCTGTCGAAGGAGGCGGAGAATACGGAGAATATACGCGTAGATTAAATATATTGTATATGCTCTCAGCAGACATGGTCAAGCATCTCCTCCTCAGGACATTACGCTCTTATACTTCAGACACTAAAGTCAGCCTCCAACTGTTGATCACCTGACACTCTTTCGACCTGTGCTGCATTTATTACTTGTAGATATGTATTAACGTCATAATATGATTATATAATAACAATGTTACCAGCTTCTTCAGATTGAAGACTGCCCGGTCTCTGAAACTAAATGTTGGAAATACGCACTTTCCCATTCGGGCGCCATTTCACAAGGCCACAGACCTGCCACAGACCTGCTCCGCACGCTGTGAATTCGTCTCATTAGCACTTAGCGCCATCTAGTGGTCAACAGGAGTGCCGCAAAACAAACACTCTTTTACAGTATGGAATACTGTATTTTCACAAGCACTATTCAAAGTTAAGCTGAGAGGTTCTTTCCCTTTGGAAGTTTACTGAACTGTATCATCTGAAAGCCTAATAATAGTTGAGACAAGCTTTAACCTTTAATTAACTCATAATATTACTACTACAAAAGACCAACAGCTTGTCTGGACTTTTCTAAAATGACTCAAGACAAATGCATTCAGAAATACTTTTATTGAAATGGTGCGTTCTCTTGTGTGAAATGAAAAAAGGAATTTCAGTTGAGTTCTTTGTATCGATCATGTGAGTGGAAACAGATCGCTTGTGCCTCCAGCAGAGGAACCTCATGCTCAGCAAAGGAGTGTTCTTGGAACTGAAAAGGGAGCGCTGCAGTACCTTTTACATTGATACATTCCTATCGTACTTCACTGTAAACTTCAAAACTATAAGTAAATAAAATTACACACAAGCTGGTTCTTGTGAAAAAATACAATTCTGTTTTTCTTAATCAGATGAAATTTGAACAAGATTGCATTGCCTTTAGCTTATCTGTGTATTACTGACTTACAGGAAATGTTATAAAATGACACATTTCTTCAAATGAAATCAAGACAAATACAAAAATGTGTGTACAGGAAGCCAATGGGATGAGAGTACTCAAGTTGGACCTTAAGTTATCTAGTGGCCAGAAAAATAGTGTACACAGGTCTTGACTGAAAATTTGTGGCCACTACACAGCCACAATGCTAACAGTACAGAGGATATAATCACAAAATCACCATTTTGAATTCAATTTCTTTAAAAAGTAATTCTAACAATTGTTCAGAATCAATTTCTGCCACACTTACAAAGGCAGACATTCTAGTTAAAGCATTCTTAAAAAGGAAACCCCTGAAGTGAGACAGTGTACAAAGACAGTCAAAATGGTGGCGGGAGTGATCTGGAACCTGCAGTGTAACCTTCTCTTCTACTCACTAGGATATTGCTTGCTCAAAAGCTTATGAGAGTATAAAAAGTGTATCATACAATGCACAAGATTTGTTTTACAGTGCAGTAAGCCCGCTCTTACAATTCATCTCAAAAATCATGAATCCAAAGAGATGGGACTTGTGGAGAAAACATTTGTGTTTCAAGTGCCTCTATGAAAAAGAAAACATAAAAAGACATTTATAAAACAAAACTATTCTTGCATTAGCTGGTGTCAAGACAAGACCTACCAGCTGCACATTTTTACACAAGTGAAATGTCTGGTGCTTTTTCCACTATTCACAAAATGTATTTACAGAGAGGATGAGACCACGCCCAAACTCAAATTCACAGCAATTTAGGAGTCACAAAATGTCATTGCACATATGTGGGAAGTTATTAGCAAGTAATGGCACATGGGGAACTACAGAGGGCGCTAAAGCCTTTTAAAAGCACTGAAAAAATATTGCACATGATTCAATGTTTTGGACCCGCCTTCCTTTTGAGATTCTACCAAGCCTTTTTCTCTTTTTTCTTCTCTTTCAAAGTCCCAGCAGGTGCAAGAAAGAATAATCTCAAGTTTTAAAGACACACACACACACACACACACACACACACAAAATCCGCTCTCCATTTTGGATATGAATGGAACCTAAGTGACAGCTGAACAAAGACGAGATTTTGGAAAATCCTGGGAAGTCCATTGACAGTCTAAACGGCCCCCTGTCTGGAGACTGTTTGATTTGATTGAGGGTTGAGAATTTTCCGAGCGAGAGGCGTGGCGTGAGCGGGCTGGTGTCTATGTGCTACTACAGTGGGTGACTCGGTGACGATGGAGTGGGTCTTGGAAAAAGGCATTTCAGAACTCATGGCCTTTTTGTAGAAACGGCACCATTTTACTGTCCAGCACTTGAGGTCGTCAGTGGAGGAGCACGCCGCCCGGCTCTGCTCCAGACAGTGGTGGTCTACTATGGTCTGTGAAACCTGCAGACGCAAAGAAAAAAAACAGATTTATTCTTCTAAGACCTTACGCAACGCACGATAAAACAACACAATGATTGTCGTCTGAGCTCTATCTCACTTATTTACCATTGATACTCCGCTAAACATAATTCTATAAATACACTAAATGGTCTGTAAACAAATTGGGAAAGGAATTGTACTTGTTGTCATTAACTGTCATTAACTGCATCTAATTGTGTGTAAATGAATAATAAAGGGAAAGAACTGCAATAAGAAAGGACATTACTTAAGGCAACATTAGAGAATTTACTAAACTTCTTTTACATTTTGGGTATCTGCTAATGCGACGTGTTTGGAAAGTGCTTAGAAGGTTTTAAGAAGACAAAAAAATAAAAAAATATAAATGTCTATTATCCGCTTTATATTTTTGTCTGATTAAACAAGAACCTTCCAAGCATTAAACATAAGACATAATGAACTTTTCACATTTAGACTCTTTTTGAGAGTCAAAAAGAGTCTAAATAACCCAGAATCTACATGACCCAGGGTAGAAGATTAAAAGTAGAAGACAATTTAGGGTATCTTTCTATCATCTGTGGCTGAGGGTAGTAGTAGCAGTAGCAGTAGCAGTAGTAGCAGTAGCAGTAGTAGCAGTAGCAGTAGCAGTAGCAGCAGTAGTAGTAGCAGTAGCAGTAGCAGCCGTAGTAGTAGCAGCAGTAGTAGTAGCAGTAGCAGTAGTAGCAGTAGTAGCAGTAGCAGCAGTAGTAACAGTAGTAGCAGTAGCAGTCGTAGCAGTAGCAGTAGTAGCAGTAGCAGTAGCAGCAGTCGTAGTAGTAACAGTAGCAGTAGCAACAGTTTACCATGTATTTTTACAGATACAGTACATATAATTTCAAGAACGTAGCTCAAAAGGAGAAGGCCGAAGCAAGACGTTTATACAGTATGTGCCTTCTCCATTTTCAATACTACATTTAAACGACTGCAAACAGGAAGCACAAGGGTTTTAAAGAGTATGAACTTCAGTATCAAACTAAATCTGTACTCAGTAGGAATCAAGGCCACACAACACAAGATATAGAAATACTGCTCTTAAAGTTGTAATGACCACTGTGGGACAAATCGGCCCCCATTTTATTCAACTTCATGTAGAATTAATACAGAAATGATTTGAGCATTGGAGGGGTTTTATTCAAATATGTATGAATAAATACCTGAGATTATTATGTTTTTTTACATACCATAGACTGTATAACGAATTCTATAATAAATACCAGACACTCAAACATCACAAAAGCACTCCCTAAAGACACTTTCTAATGAAGCCTTCAGGGTTGGCTGTGAGATAGGCACATTGAATTGTTAGAAGTGCATTTAAAGCCTATTGTAAAAGAGCGGCATTTCTAATTTGCTGTTTAAATTCAGACGGTGTTTTCCGTGCGTGTGCGTAGCGACACCGTACCTGGTTAAATGGCGGCTTGACTCGTGCACTTCCATCTCATTGCTCTTGAAATCGTTCAGCTCCTTGCGAATAGCTGCCTGTAGAAGACAAGAAGCAAAAAAAAAAGATTAAGAGGAGCTCAGCAGCAGCAGTAAACAGCAGCCTTTAAGCCATGACTATTCCCCAGCATTCACGCATCATTTACAGCCATCCACAAATAAGTCTGCGCACTGTCTCACTGCGATGAACACGGCTCCCTCTCAGAGACATCCAAGTTGCATTTATTTAGAAATAAGCTTCGTTGCTGCCGTTCAAACAAACTGCAATTTTTTTTTTTAAATTACACCAAAATGTACTTGGTAAATGTTGTATGTATATATGTACTATATGCTGAATATACCATTATAACATTGTATTGTAAATGGAATGCATTCATAGCAGTCAATTCCTTTCAATGTGTTTTGGAACAGCCCTAAATCACAGTAGTTATCTCAGAGGACTTTACACAAGCGTTGAATTCACAGATCAGAGAATAAAAACAGTTGAAACTCAGAAAACACATTGGTATTGGTCCATAAGGGGCAGATGAACAATGTCCATAAGTGTTGTTGAATGTTCTAGGACAACTATCTTTAATATAGTAACTTGCAGCATTCATGGTAATCGGCTACTATGGCATGTTAAAGCCTATTGTCTCAGGAAAACAACCCTATAATTAAATTTGTACCAAAATGTGATTAGATGTTAAACCAAAGATTTATTTTTTCACAAAATGTTACCACAAAAACTGACCCAGTTGAATCTGAACCTACTAGAAAATAAAATCCAAACTCACAAAACTATGTAAACAAAAACATGATTATTGTTATTCTGAAATGTCCCCACTGTGGGACGAATAAAGGAATATCATATCTTATTAAGAAAGTTTATGATAATGATGACAATAATGATAATAATAAAAAAACTTTTGGCCCCAACCAGTTTTTTTTTTTTAAAGTCCCTTCAGATCGAACAAAAGGAGACTTGGCTATTTATATGATTTGTATCTATGTGCATGAGAACAGAGACGTCATCACATGAGATATTAATGACTCATGCTTATATATTTACTACCAACAATGTGGGTCAGAACAAAGCCGTACAGAGCTTAAAATAATAATGTTGTAGCAGTATATACAGAGAATACACAGGTCAGACTCCACAAGAGCAAGAGTCAATAAAAGCCACAAGTAGTTCTGTGAAAAGCCAGATCTATTTTAGTGCCATACATATAAAGTTTCACCCCTTCTTGCGCAAAATTCTTCATGTGTATGGCCATTACCGAACATGTTGAAGATTGTAAATAGAGCTTGAGTAAAACAATATATGGACAACATTTCAAAACGAACTCTTCGCGTAAAAACATGCAAAATATTGATAATAGAATCTCACACAGCTACTTAAGTACATCCACACAAAAGGAAAAAAAGAAATAAATCTATTGCACATCTAAGACTTCTCTGTAGCCAGGGCATAAGGTACCAGTGCTAAGGGGAGCACAGCTGACAGCCTGAGGATAAGAACGTCATTTCCAGACATTTCCAGACTGACACTATACGCGTTTGTGTTTTTGTGACGCATTTGATGATTCACAGACTTCTAGTAGCAGCACAACAACAGGAGATGCCCGAGTGTCATGCTCAAGGGTAAAGCAGTCACAGATGAGTCAAAGACGTAAGACTTTGAAACGGTTTGTTGGGTTTGGGCTGTGTAATAAGCCTCCCGTGGATATAAACCGTAATTTAGAGCTGAAGGCGAGACAGGCGACGTCACAGCATTTCCCGAATGACTCAAAGAGGAGAACCAATGTTGTTTAAACCAGAAGGAGGAACATGGACCATGGCAGAGGTTCATCAATTTGCTCTTATGAAGTCTTTACAGCTAGTTACGAAGCATTGCAGCTATTTAATTGTATATTTTGTGTGCTCTCACTACTGTCCTGTATGTGTGCTACAACATCAACATTTCCCCACTGTGGGACGAAGAGTTTGAGATTTGCTTAAGATAGAGATTTGATACTGCTTTTTATGCAAGAGAGGTTTTATTTTATATTAGTATAGAGTTATAGTTCATTAATCTTGTGCTGTGTGCTCCTCATTCCTTCTCTTCTGTAACTTGTGATGCAACACTTAAAATTCCCCACTGTGGGACGGATAAAGCATATCTTACTCTTAATAAAGGTTCTCTCATCTCATCTTATTTACAAAAGTGAACATAATAAAAAAAAAAGAGCAGATTCATTCAAAACAATAGTGAGCATTGCTTTTGCTTTTTGTGATGGACACACTTCAATGTAAAAGTTTAAAGTAGCATCATTAAATGGCCCTAATATGTTTAAAGGCATTATTAAACCATGCTCTTTAACTGATAACAGTAGTTCAGCCGAGATATGTGAATTTCAAAATTAGTTTTACAGCCCCTAAATCTTGTTATTGTTTTGATGTCCCGCCCTCCACCGTTCTACCAATCAGAAAGTCCGTGGTTGCCAGAACTCACTGCGTCGAGCTGATCTCACTGGTAAAGTAGCATGTGGTCGCAGGAATAAAAAAGGTCTTGTTATGATTCTCAAATCATTAATGACCTTATGGGCCTTTCGTCTGCATATCTGGCAACCCGAGTCAGGCAGAGGGTGAGAAGTTCCAGTACCACTTTCAGCCAGATTTTTACATACTGCTCCTTTAAGCAAATTTCGAAAAATCAGATTATTCAAGTTTATTGGTCTTGGGGTGATGCAGCTCCTGGATAATACAACAAATACATCTACAAGTGTACATGCTGTATTTATTCCGTCACGCTCCTGTAAGGGTTTTGGAGGTCACACACAGGCCCTCATTGACAGGACAACATCGATTTGAACTGAACACCATTCAAGGCCTTTAAATCCTAATTGTGTGATTGCGGTCTTATGTAAGGGGATGTTGCATAAGGAAAAAAAAACCTGATGCTTTTCACATGAGCAGGCCACAGGTATGCATGTCTCTGTGTTCCACCGCAGGACAGGCAACTGCATCAAACCACATGAGCTAATTATAAGTCACGAGCGCAGAGCAAAAGGGCCCCGGGATGTTTACCAGTCAGGCTGAAAACAGCTGACGTACCACTCAACAACACATCATTCCAATTTCAAACCGTGGCCAATGAGTGGTTTATGCAACTATGACTTGGCTTGTTTTTTGTAAATGACAGGAAGTACAGAAGAATAGATCAACTGTCATATTAATTTGACTTGTTTAAGATGATTGAGATTGACAATGCTAATCCAGATGTTCAGATATGAAGTAATGACTGTACAGGGTTAAATACTTGATAAACTAACTTTTTGAGTCTAAGTATGAGAAGCAATAATATCACTATGGTTACCACCAGTAAACGAGAGCTTCTTCACGTAGAAACAATAATATCATTGTGAATAATTGTGATATTCGGGGCATATACAAACATTTTACAATACAAATTCATATAAAATCCAGTTTTCCAAAAGTATAATTGCATTTGGTTTTTTCGATTCTGGGGGAAATAGGAAAAAATCTTAGTTTTGAATCATAAAGTCAATATTTTTACACATTCATTGCAACTAATTTGATACGATTACATACATACCATACAAACCATACCATATAAAGTCTACTTGTGCACATCGGGTCAGATACGAGTCAGAAATCCTAAATGCCACACACTTTTGTCCACATTTGTCCTAAGTGTTGATACGAGCCGAGGCTGTGGCGTTCTTGGATTACCTTGTCGGCTGCGGTGAGTCTGGTCCAGGGTTTATCGGCTCTGCGGTCGTAGTCCTGGGCGTCGGACACCTCCACGTAGTCGCTGAAGCGGATGAGGATTTTGGCCAGTCTGAGCTCCTCCACTGTGGGTCTCTGGCTCAACTAGAGGTGGGAGAGGGGGAAAGGATGGAATGTTATGATGCCTTGGTCGTTACATGGGCAGAAGCAAATAGTCAATAGTCTTTTTCCTTGTTGTTGTGATAGAATATTTGTACAATTGTGATTGAGACATGTTTTTAAAGCCATGGCTATATTTCGGGTCTGTCATGTCAAACTAGACAGAAAGATATTGGAATGAAATGCCCTAATGTGATTATGTATAGTGTTTTTTTGTATTGTTTTTAGGTTTTTTTTTTAATCATGCCGTTTTATTGTATGCGAGATACTGTAGTGTGTGACATGTGCTGAAGAAACCTAAATAAAATAAAATCAGTTCTATGATATCGGTTAATCCCGGCTTGAGCGCTTCAATCAAGGTAATAACTTAATGAGATTACTAAATGATATTAACCCAGAACACTTTAACGCCAGAGAGATTTCACTTTTACTCATGCAACGTTGTTCTGTAGTTACTGTACTGTAGTAAGTAAATAAATAACTGAGGGTTAGTGAAGCAGAAGCATCAAGATCTGTATCTGAGAAAAAAAAAATCTAAAATCCTCATAATTCTTTGGACCGACAAAACAGAGCCAGTTTAACACAACCAAGCAAAGCAGATTCTCTTTGTGTTTAAGGCCAAATTGTAGAACTTGTTATGATGGAGTATTAGAGAGCCAACTCTACAATTACTCTGATTATTTTGTGTTGCCAAGGATTCTTAAAATACAAACAAATACAGGTACACTGTAAAAAATGATAGAATATGAGGTAGTAAGTGAGTGGGTTCATTCTGACTGGCTAAAACAAGATTTGCCAACAGGACAAAGCCATTTAGTCTTTACTTCCTCATTCCAAGCGAGACACTTCTTGTATCTTTTCAAAGCAACAATCATTTTGCTTGTCCCATTGGAAAATAGCGTTTTAAGGCAGTTTTTTAAGGTATATTTTCACTTTTTGCAGTGTACAAATCTTTTTCTATTGGGTTAAGCATATAAACCCGACTGGGCCGCCAGGTAGTGAAAGAAAAACACTGACTTTTTCTACACCTCTGAATGTTGCTTTGTCAGCGAGTCCATAGGTGTGTGTGCTGCTGGTGTGATTTTTAAATAGAAAGCAAATGGAACATGTTCTGCAGCCTCCTGTGGCGTGGAGGAATTTGGCAAGAAAACATCCTGAAAGGGCTAAGGGCAACGCGGGCACTGTAGCCCCCTGTGGCGACCCGTGTCACTGTAGCATCCCTATATCTGCCGCTAGTAAACGCACAACGTCTCCTTCAAAAGCATCTGCTCAGATTTGGCAAAAACCACGTGTGCTTTATCCTATTTTTACTCACCTTCCGCGTTAATCTCCGCTTGATTTCTCGCTTCTCTTCCATCTCCTCCTGTTCATTGCGAGCTACATGAACGAGAAAAAAAGACAGAAAAAAGACAGATATTATTCAAATGTGGCCTGAGGGAAAGCTGGATTTCCATAATGCGTCTCATTAGCAGACGATAGATGTAGAAAAATGTTTCCTTAGTGCGTTACATATTCGGCTGTTTACACGTCTTTAAGGAGCGGGCGTCATGGGAGGTGTAGACTTTCAGATCGTCCCGCAGCTTTTTGTTACACGTTAAAAGAATTCCCCGATCAAAACTACCAAAACATTTGTCAAAAAAGTTCCCATTATAAAGCCTGTACAGCTTTGGGGGGATGACAGCAACTCCAAAATCAAAACACAGCATGCTGGGGTTGTTTTCTCCATCCTCCATGCTCAGAAGTTAGAAACAAGTACATGGCCCACTTCTGTTATAATTTTATTTTAAATATTTGTTTTCTTGACAAAAGAACATATAGTTATCCACATGTACCTTAGGGCCACACCATTGTTAAAAATATACAATTGCAATATTTCCGACTGAAACTGAGATGCAATTTTCTATGTTTAAAAAAAATGTAAACCTTGACCAGTGTTAACCTGGCCTTAGCCGTCCGCTCACTCCGCTCAATCATCATTTCCCTGCATGTGACGTCTGGGTCTGGTCTCTGTTTGCGATTACATTCGTTTGAATCCCATCCGACCAATCAGCGAGCGCGGGAGGCGGGTGTTGTAGTAAGATGTAGGTGACGTCAAGAGTTTGCGTCGAATGGGAAGGTCGTAGTTTGGCAATGGTGAAGAATGCTATAGTAAAGTAATCCGGTCTGGTTCGATTGAAGCCGGAGCGAGAGGAATGAATAGCAAAAGTTATTGCTGGCAAAGATTGTGGCGCTACTCCCCACGGGCTCCGTTAGCGACAAAGAAGATGGCTAGGCTAAATGCTAAATGCTAACGACTCACTCGGGCGCACTACATATGTCACGATAAAGTCCAATCGTTTCAATCTGCAGAAGGAGTTAACCCCTCCTTTCTGTAAACAGAGCTCAATGGAAAACCTCCAGACCTTAGTACCAAATGTAATTTGTACTATGGTGTGGTACGACCAGGCTAGACCAGTGAAAATCTTAAAAAGAATTTCACTTGGAAAAGGTTACACATGAAGCGTTTACCTCATAAACAACTCAGACATTTCTAAATATGTTACGTATACCTATATAGTAACCTATAGTATAACAATTTGTAATATTTCGATCTCCTTATATATACATTAATTTAATTTATTTATTCCTTTCATGAAAATGCTGTTGCACTCATCAGCTTCATAACATGATAGACATACATGATACATTTCCACGATTGGATAGGAGCAGAGGAAGAAAAAAAATGTGTATGTTTATCCGCCCCTTTTCAATCAATCAATTCAATTCAATCAAATAAATCAATTCAAAAAAATCTCATAAGAGACGTCTCATCTCGTATAGACAGGTGAGATGTCGGATTTTGAACGAGAAAATGACAGACAACAAAATTCGACTGTGGTCAATGGTGCAGCCCTAATGTAGCCGCAGCATAAACTCAGCTCAATGTCAATTCCTATGACAGAGCTGAGCGCGGGTCAGTCAGACTTTGAGAGATGAGATGAGACTTTACTTTCTCACAAGGGAGACATTTTGGATGTGGCTCCATCAGTGAGGCCGCTCTGTAGAAAGAGCTCTCCCAGGACCAGCTCTGAGTCTGCAGAACCACAGCCTTCACACAGAACACTCAACCAAGTGTGCGGCGCATGCATTAACACATCTACTTTTGCAAATGTATTCCAATGTGGTTTTACTGCAAATGGCAAAGAGATGAATCTGAATCTACTGACAGTGGTTTTAAACATGTGAGAAAACGGATCAGTCCCGATCTGAGCTTTTATTTAAGTTATTTAAAAAAGGTAAGGTGTGTATGTGACTTTTCCATTGGAGGATGTGCCCAGATGTGATACACAATAACTCTAATTAGAATGTGATATTTTTGGACGTTGGGGATGCGACGATGGAAAACCTATTACTGCGTTCTAGAATGAAATCTTTGGTGCATAATTACAGCCACAGGACATGAACATTTGTCAGTGTGTATCTGTGTGAATCGTTAGTGGAATAGACTAAAGTAGAATGAAACCATGTGAGTTTTAGAATGTGTTTTTCATTTCTTACCTACAGTTACAATAATAACAACTGTATGTAGCTGTTAAAAGCATGTTTTTCTAGCCTCATATGTGCACTGTATTGTATGAACTGTAATTTTCCTTCTGTACGGGACTGTCGCTTCAGACTATTATGTTTTACCCTCATTTCACTGTTTTGATGCTAAATATTTGATCTATTAAAAGTAATTCTTACGCCATAACCTTTTTTTTGGCGTATTTGTTTTTTGCCATTTGAATGTGTAAATGTTTGAGCTTCTGTGCACAAAAAATATATATTCTGGGGTAAATTATGGTCAATTTTACAATATCAATTTATAATTTCATCACATTCGTCCAGAAATTGTGTGTAGCCAGACAGCAGAGAAAAGACTGGGGAAGTAAATTATTCTTTGAAAATAATAAAAAATGTTTTAAATAAAATATATAACATAATAATATATATTGGGTATATTGTAATCTAACAGAGCTGACACACATTTTGTTGAGAGAAAATAGGTGCAATTTGGTGAATACATTTTAAGACCTTTTCTTAAAGCTGCACTAACTGACTTTGGGATTTTGAAGCCGCGGACTCGCTGGCCTCTCTCTTTCTGCTCCCCTCCCCGCGCTCACGAAGCTATCGCCCCCACACACACCCACTGTTGTTGATGGAGCTAGCGTCTCACAATATGGATAATACATGGATATGGATTTTCACGTGGATGGCGTGACCATAGAGCGATAGAACCGGGAAGCGCGGAGGAACGGGACTTTCTTTTGGATGGCTGTCTCGCTGTGTAAGCAGTAACCGGTAACGAAGACACACGAAGTTTCAGGTTAGCTCCTCGGCTTGTTGTGCTAACTCAGCCGTCTATGCTAACGGACCTGTGGATTTCTCACGAAAGTGGGGGCCAGTGGTCCGCTGTGATTGGTCACAATCCGCGACCCGAAACACATTCTCTTCCTTGTTTCATCAAAACTTGATCTAAAATATAATGTCACGCCAGCACAAATCTGCGCTACTTTTTTCTTCAAAAGGACGTATATCCCAATGCACTGCACGGACATGGATAGCATTTTCGTAATGAATACAAAAATAAAGTCAGTTAGTGCAGCTTTAAATAAGCTTTTTCCACTGCTACACTGCAAAAAGTGATCAAATATGAGGTTAAGTGTTTTTTAATCTTAATTTGAGTACATTCCGATCGTCTTAAAACAAGATTTTCCAATGGGACAAAGGCATTTAGTCCCATTTCAAGAACTTTTTAATCATCCCCAGCGAGACATTTCTTGTATCTTTTTAAAACAAGATAACTGGCATAGTCAAATCTTGTTTTAAGGCAGTCAAACTGTGCTAACAAAAAGAAGATAAATTTTGCCAAATTTGATCCATTTTTTCACTTATTTTTCATCACCTTTTGCAGTGTATAATGTAGACAAAAGTATACAGTATTTATCTAGATTTTGATCAGATGTTGAGTGGGACGAGACCATAGACTGTATATATTGACGAGACACAACAAAACTGAATAAAATGTATTGTTAAATAAGTTTGCGCTGCTACTCTCTATATATTCAAACTGCAGATGATTGTTGCGTACAATTTTTTCGGGCATGAATAGTGTCTTTGAGGAGGAGGAGTTAGGGAGGGCATGTATCGACCAATCGCACGCTCCGAACAAGTGGGTTGGTCTCACATTGATGCTTTGCAAAACACTCAGTAGATTCCAATGTCGTTCAGTAATCATTGCCGTGGAAGACACATAATCAAAGTAAAAAACGTGAATGGTCGGCGTGTATTTCTTCTTTCCCGGGGTCAGAACTGTGTGTTTTTGATTACAGGGTTGCGTTTAAGACTTACGTTTGAGAATGTTCCTCTGCTCCAGCTCTTCTGCCGTTGGTCTCTGGCTCAGGCGCCTAAGAAAGAAGCACACGCATTATTCAAATTCAAAACTTTAACATAACCTCCTGACGGGGCTTGTCAGAGTTTGCCTTTGTGCTCAGGTTTTTGAGGAAAAGCTGCCGAGTTAATGGAAAAATTTAAATGTGCTTCCCCTTCTCATCTTTGCCCCAATATTGACTTCACTGTGACCCCGACAAGGTTATTCTGTGACTATTAAAAACTGCTGGAACTTTCTATGAATTCTAAAAGCAAAGTCCAGCATGATAATCAATATTTATCAGTGCTTTTTTTGACAACAGAAGAAAATGATTCATAAAAAGGCTCCATTGTACGTGTCATGTCCTCACAATACCAATACACTGCAAAAAAACATGGTAAAAATGAGGTAATAAAAATGACTAGATTCAAGAATTTGTCAAACATTCTGACCGTCTTGCCAATAAGACAAGCTGCTTTATTTTCTCATTCCAAGGAAGACATTTCTTGTATATTTTCAAAACAAGATAATTTTGCTCGTCCCTTTGGCAAATCTTGTTTTAAGGCAGTCAAATTGTACTCCAATTTAGATATTCTATGCCAAATTTGAGATTTTGTTTTATTTTTTTATATCACTTTTAGCAGAGTTCCTCCCTAGATAATATCCAAACTTATTAAAATGAGTCTATAAACTGCATTACTTAATATGCATATACTTTTTTAGAATGTCAATTTGAAGGTCGACCGCTTTGACAAGACTTTTCTGATGTAATGCATTCACCAGACATGTGTAATATAAAACCAGACAAAAGACACGTGCTTTGAGGCAAATAGACATCAGCAAATCTCCTTCCAAAATTTGTTTTCCAAAGATTATCTCCAATTTCCTGCATCTGTGAGTGGATGAAGGAGTGAAGACACCCAGAGGCCTTTGGATAAGGTCAATCCGAGTGCTTTCAGTTGGGAAACTCTTGTTATGGCAGCGGAGCAGGAGCCGAGGGCAGTAGAACTAATCACTGAATCAATGGCTGTCTCCATCTTGTTAGCTCAGATAAGGATCTGGAGAGAGGCTGGGCCCGGTGACGCTGTGTACAGAAGAACTCAAAATGCCACAGCGCTTCCATAAAAGGGGTTATTCTTGGATAATGGAGTACATAGTGAATCAAGTTTAAATCTCGTAGTGTAGTACTGTACATTGGTTGCAAAGACTGTACAGATCAAATTGAGCTTACTTCATGTACACCAGGCATGTCCAAACTAAGGCCCGCGGGTCAATTGCGGCCGTCTGTGGTATGTTATGTGGCCCCGATCTTTGATATTATAAACACAATAATCATTTCAGATGTACATTTACTTTAAATGTACATCTGAATGACATAAATGACATTCATTTTTGATTGTGTCAGAGAATTTTGAGAAAATGTCTATGGCGCTAATGTAGCTAGTGAAATAGTAAACATTTGTCATTCAGCCAACTTCAGCTACAATGTCATATCTCATTTTAAATGGTCAGAGCAGCCCAACCTCAGTCAAAAAAGTTTTATAATTATGTTGTCGGCCCTACAACCAAACTCCCTCTGTCTTTGCTGGGACCAGGGTTGACAGACCAGGGGACTCATTTATAAAACCTTATGCAGGATTTGTCGTAGACGTTTATGTGCAAACAAGACCAAACAATCAGTCTATGGTTTTTGTCCTTTTTTACATCCATCCATCCATCCATCCATTTTCTACCCTTTAATCCATTTCTGGGTCAGGGGGGTGACAGTCAGAGATGCCACCCAAGTCTCATAGCACCAGCCCCTCACTGACCCTCTGCAGGTGGTGAGTCCACAGGAGGACGGCTGCTCTCTGAGTGTGAGCATAGCCTTGATCTTTCAGTGGGGTCTTCGAGCAAAGTGGGGTTAAGTGTCTTGCCCAAGGACACATCATCAGTGGGAGTCGGTGGAGAAGGTGCAGAGGTGGGAATTGAACCCACGACCTTCTGGCCTTAAGGCCAATGCTCTACCAACTGAGCTACTGTCGCCCCCTTTTTTTTTCTACAAAATCACTTAATTCCAAGTCATGTGTTTTCGTAAAAATCACAAACTTAACGTGGAAAGTGCCATACATTATTTGTGTGTAAATGAGGCAGCAGACTGACAGAGTAATCACCGGCTGAATTGATGAGACCTGGATCTGGTTAAAATGAATTGAAATTGCGAATAAAAAGGGCCATTGTCCGGCATAAAACCGCACAAACACAGAAGATTCTCAATGAAATTGAACATTAGATTGTCATACATGTTGGGGACTATATTTCTTACTTTCTACCTAGTTTTTAGTTAAATGTAGCAGAGATGGAGGGACAGTAGTTAAACATTACAGTGTAAATTTGCAGGCATAAGACTCAGAACATCCCTCACCCAATGTATCCTTCTCTGTACATGATGTTGAATTCAGCAACACCAAAACATAGATTGTGAACAATAGATGCATCTATTTTCCTGGCCTTTGTTGAAAATAACAAAAGGATGCGAGGAGTCTTCTTCTGAGACACAATCCCGCAACTGTAATTCTGATTGGTCTGACACCTTTGTGAAAAACAGGCCTTACGCAGTCCTTGTGCCTGTTCCCACAAACAATTATCATTATATATTATTGAAGAAAAAAGTATATGTAGTTTTCTTGATTAATAAACAAAATTATTATTATTATTATTATTATCGTTATTATTTATTATTGTATTTTTTTTGTATCATCTTCTTGTCTTTGTTATATTCGTTCTTGTTTGGGGATGTACCTTTGTGTGTTCTTGTTAAATGTTGATGTTTTTGTCTGTTATGTCTTTTGTCGTCTATAATAAAAGAAAAAAACATAACATTCCGTCACATTAACCATCCAGTGTGCATTATTTATTTTTTTGCACAGATATTCTAATGTGGTTTTTAAATCTCACATTTGTGGTTGATGTACTTTTAACATAAATATTTGTTTACACTAAAAACTGCTCAGAGGAAAACACATTAGTGATAAAATAACCCTTTCTATTTTAGGTTTTCACTCAACACTTTTCTCCCGCTACTGTGAAGTGAAACTGCATAATTGCAACCTGAAATCACCCCTGAAGTTGCCCTCGAGTGAACGTCCTGATTTCCACGCAACGTGACGTGTAAAACGTGCTTAAAAACCGTAGCCGCATTCATTCTGGAGAACACTGAAATTTGTAGATCCCACTCAGATTAAAAATGGGCAATTTGAACAGTCACTATGTCCTTATCTTAAGAGTGTAACAAATGGGAACGGGATTGAAATCGAAAATGACAGCTCTGGTAGGACGGAGAGATGAGGAAGGGAGCAACAGGGAAGAGAAAAAGATGAGGAACAGGGGAGAAAGAGAAACAGGGAAGAGAGAGAGAGAGAGATGAGGAAGGGGAGCAACAGGGAAGAGAAAGAGATGAGGAACAGGGGAGAAAGAGAAACAGGGAAGAGAGAGAGAGAGAGATGAGGAAGGGGAGCAACAGGGAAGAGAAAGAGATGAGGAACAGAGGAGAAAGAGAAACAGGGAAGAGAGAGAGAGAGAGAGAAGAGAGAGCGCCAGGGAAGAAAGAAAGAGGGGGAGGAGAAGCAACAGGTAAGAGAGAGAGAGATGAGGAAGGGGGGGGCAACAGGGGAGAGAGAGCGAGAGAAACAGGAGAGAGAGCAACCGGGAAGAAGAGAAAAAAGGCTGAGCAACAGGGAAGAGAAAGAGATGAGGAACAGGGGAGAAAGAGAAACAGGGAAGAGAGATGAGGAAGGGGGGGCGACAGGGAAGAGAGCGAGATGAGGAACAGGGGAGAAAGAGAAACAGGGAAGAGAGATGAGGAAGGGGGAGCGATAGGGAAGAAAGAGAGAGATGAGGAACAGGGGAGGGAGAGAGAGAGCGCCAGGGAAGAAAGAAAGAGAGAGGGGAAGGGGAAGCAATATGGAAGAGAGAGAGATGAGGAAGTAGGAGCAACATGGTAGAGAGAGAGAGAGAGAGATGAGGAACAGGGGAGGGAGAGAGAGCGCCAGGGAAGAAAGAAAGAGGGGGAGGGGAAGCAACAGGTAAAGAGAGAGAGAGATGAGGAAGGGGGGGGCAACAGGGGAGAGAGAGCGAGAGAAACAGGAGAGAGAGCAACCGGGAAGAAGAGAAAAAAGGCTGAGCAACAGGAGAGAGAGAGAGATGAGGAACAGGGGAGAAAGAGAAACAGGGAAGAGAGATGAGGAAGGGGGGGCGACAGGGAAGAGAGCGAGATGAGGAACAGGGGAGAAAGAGAAACAGGGAAGAGAGATGAGGAAGGGGGAGCGATAGGGAAGAAAGAGAGAGATGAGGAACAGGGGAGGGAGAGAGAGAGCGCCAGGGAAGAAAGAAAGAGAGAGGGGAAGGGGAAGCAATATGGAAGAGAGAGAGATGAGGAAGTAGGAGCAACATGGTAGAGAGAGAGAGAGAGAGATGAGGAACAGGGGAGGGAGAGAGAGCGCCAGGGAAGAAAGAAAGAGGGGGAGGGGAAGCAACAGGTAAGAGAGAGAGAGATGAGGAAGGGGGGGGCAACAGGGGAGAGAGAGCGAGAGAAACAGGAGAGAGAGCAACCGGGAAGAAGAGAAAAAAGGCTGAGCAACAGGGGAGAGAGAGAGAGAGAGATGAGGAAGGGGGAGCAACAGGGAAGAGAGAGAGAGAGAAAGCAACAGCTAAGAAAGAGAGGAAGAGGGAGCAACAGGGAAGGGAGAGAGAGAGAGAGAGATGGAGAGGAAGTGAGATGGAGAGAGAAATAGGAAAACAGCAAGAGAGACAGTGAGAGAGATAGCAAGAGAGAGAGAGAGAAAGAGAGAGGGAGCTTATTTCGGCAACCAAACAGGCCTTCTGGAATCACAGTTGGGAATAACATGCCTTCTGCCAATGTCCCTTGTAAAAAAAAAAAAAACCTTTTCCTTCCTTTAAAAAACAGCTTTGTCGAGTTATCACAAACACGTCCATTTTGTCCAGAGTGCTGATGGTTGGCATGTCATTGCTTCCACTTCAGGCAAAAAAAAGACAGAAAAAAGAAAAACAGAAATCCAAATGGGGCTTGTAATCTACTGGGGAAAACATCTTGTCCTGGGAGAGTGTTAGAAAATATCCCAATGAATTTTAAAACCTATTTAGAAGCAAATCTGCAGTTTCCTGAATGGACAGCGCCGGGGGGGGGGGGGTGATTGGAAAGGAGGCTCAAGACCCCACACAAGCCATACCCCTGATCCTCGGCCTGGACATGATTTATTATGTATAGCCCAGTTATTTTCTGTCAGGGACCTCAAAACTCATCGAATAAATCTGCAACCACTAAATGAAAGTAATAATATAATAATAATAATAATATATTGTTTTGTTTTACCCCATTTCACTTTTATGATTGATTTCAATGGTGTATTAAGATAAGATAAACGTCATTGATCCCGAAGGAAATTACAGTGGTGCCGGCTTCTCTCATTCACACAGTCACATAATACGGTTTCTAAAATATAATAAAAACAAATATTACATTAAATAACAATAACAAAAAAATCTGACTTATTTTGAAATCATCTCAATCCTTTTGGAAATGTGTCAGACTGTCTCCACTCGTTCTTTGCATAATGTGGACTTCTCATTGACATCACTCTGGAAATAACCGAGAGCCACTGACTGTTGCTAGGGCAGTCAATATTTAGCTACTATTTCAGTGATTCGATGCTTAAATGATTCTTGTTCATTAGATGTGAATACAGTTCTGGTCATATACTGTACGTCATCATTTTTAGAGGCTGCTTTAGAAGACTAATCCAGGTGTCAAACCGGTCCTCGAAGGTCCAGTGTGGCTTAGTGCTGCACGATATTGGAAATTAGTGCGATATGAGTGTTTAGTATTGCGATAACGATATTATCTAAAAAAAAAAAATTGCAATCTGAAACGCAAGAGACAAATAACAAAAAATAAGCGCAACATTAATGACATTCAAATGCATATATTTATATACTTTTTTGTTTGTTTGCTGTTCTTGTTGAAAGTTGATGTGTGTCTGTTTTGTTGTCTTTAATAAACAAACAAAAAGTATTTAAAAATCTATATATTTTTTTATTTCTTTATCGCGGATATTTTTGATATGGATATTGCACGCACCAATATCACGATAACGATATTTTTTCGATATATCGTGCAGCCTAGTGGGGCTGCAGGTTGTCATTCCAAGCAGGAGCACAGCAGACTCCACCCATTTCCTCAGGTTAAGACTGTAAGACTGGACTCACCTGAGGAAATGGGTGGAGTCTGCTGTGCTCCTGCTTGGTTGGAATGAAAATCTGCAGCCACACCGGGCCTTACTGGAACCAGTTTGACACCTATTTTATTTATTCGAGAACAGCCTTGTCCAAAACATGCATCTAAACACTCCAGGATCTTCCCAGATATAAATCAATTCAAAACATGCCAATTCCAGTAAGTCTTTTATTGTACTATTTAACCCGATTGTGTTTCAATGAATATTTGAAACCAAAATCAATGTATAGCTTTAGAATTGTATTGAGTCAACATTTCTTTGCCCCTTCTTTATACAATGTGGACTCCTCTATATAAACTATCAACACATAAATGCATATACCCCAGTTTTAGATTGGCCTGAATACCACAGCTGGTTTGTATTGGGGGCCACTATTTTTTTTGAATGCACTGCGACTGCGGCAACGTGTTTTCTGGTGGTTTGTATGGGATGTGTTGTGTTTGTGTGGGGGAGTCGAGGCGGAGAGAGAGAGCGAGGGAAGGAGGGAGAGATTGGCACAAAAGGCATCGGCGTGGTGATTCAGTAAGCGAGGGAGGAAGTATAAGTGAGAGAAAGGAGACAGGAGAAGGAAAGGAGGGGTTGGAACGGGAAGAAATTAGGTCAGCTCCATTTTTAAAACCATATTTTGGAGAAGATGAAACGTTTATCTTGATCGCTCTGAAGCCAAGGAATAAAAGGGGAATAAAAATGTCCAAATTGAGAGGCTTGTTTTTTCCGCTTCGGTCTTTTTTTTCTTTCGAGATCGAGCCGGAAGCACAGTGCCAAGCTCGAGTATTGCTAACTGCAAGTCCATAGCAACAAGGGATGTGTTGGCAAGCGCTTATGAGTATATGCAAGTGTTGAGGCTTATGTCCGTGTACACATTCCAGTATGATTGGTTTGTTAATTTGCCGTACACTGCAAAATCTGGTCGAATTAGATATTAAATTCCTGGGTCTTGATTTAATTATATTATATTTATTTATTTATTCATTTCTAATTAGCTTGTATCTTGATTTTAGACAGTCAAAATATATTTCAATTCTCACACAGGCATAATCAACAAACCAATCATATTCAAATGCACAAACTTTATATGCTAAAATCAAGAAAACCAACCCATTTCAAGCTACTTTTGTTTTTCTTTGTCGTTTTTAGGTGCAATTTTCAGACCTTGCCAAAATTGAGACAGGTGGATCATGTGACCAATGTTAAATGTGATATTTGTGGAGTAGCAAATGACTTGCAAAACAAACATCAAGTTTACATGGAACCAACATATCTAAGATGCAGTCAGTAATTTCTGATGGGAAGGGCAATATGTTGAATATAATAAATGTTACCATTTCCTTGGATCTCACGGTTGTATCTCGTTGTTTTAAAGCGGTAGATATAGTCTCCCGCTTCTGTATGCATTGTATTCATTGAAAAAGTTCCATGAATACATTTCAAAAGCATGCAGAGGCTGTATCCGATTGATCAGAGAGAGCCTTGCGACGCTCTTGACTTTTCATTAGCACTCAAACTGGTCATCAGACATATGATTTAAGCACACATTTGGCAAAAGTTATCATACCGCATTTTCATACATGCTCAACAAAACAAAACAAAACAGGTGTGCGAGGGACTGTGCTTCATCACAATGATCAAGGAGCTACAGTATACGTGTACGTATTATACACATGGTTCTTAAGTGCATCTGCTGGCCTTGTCTCAGTAGTATCTGGATTAAGTGGTTACATGTCAGCATGGACTCAGTAGAAATGGTTCAATCCAGTTACACCAAAAGGATTCTTTTTTTACACCACAATCGGCACACCCCGGTTGAGTCTTGCTAAATTGAATTAAATTAGACTCAGCGGGTTATCCACAGTTTCACTAACACCTAGTCTCATTAGGCTCAGAAATGTGCTTTTCCCATCTTGTCTACTTCAGCACAGAGCAAGTAGTGGGAGAGAGGTGAAAGGCTTGGGCCTGTGTGTGTTTTGAGTTGTCTGTTTTATACCATCAGTGGTAGTATTGGATTACTGTTTGTACTGTACAGTTGTATGTTTGAGAATTCTACTGCACGATATTGTTAAAACAGCGTGTGTGTGTGTGTGTGTGTGTATAATAAGGATTTGCTTCATCCAACTCCTTTTCGAAGTTATTTGCAAGTTATATAGATGTAAAAATATGTATTGTGCAGGTTCAAAATAAATAAACAAATAATAAATACATGCAGGTTCAGCCCAACATCGAGGCCACTTCTCATCAAATAAACATACTGTTTATATCGAGATTTGTTTTTTTCGCTTCAGCATCGAGCGGTCAGTCAAAGGTAAGAAGCAAAAATGGACACGTAAATCTTGCATGTGTGTTGCATAAGAGAACAGAAGTGCTGAAAAATGAATGGGCTCTTAAAAGGGGTTTACCGAGTGAGTTTGGTGCCGATCTGCTGCCGGGACTCCAGCCTCTCCTCGTCCGTCTGCATGGGCAGGATGTTCTTCTCCTCCAGCTCCCGTTTGGACGGCCGGTTACTCAGCTTGATGGCCAGGGAGTCTTTCCTCAGCACTTTCTGAGCCAGCGAGCCTAAAACAAGCAGGATTTAAAATGTTAAACCTTTTATATTGAAGACTTTTTTGCAAACTCACACATTCTGGGGATTGTAAAAGGCTAATAACTTCTCAGGAAAGAATGTACTTTTCCCTCCAAGGCACTTAAAGTCACCATTTCTCCTCCTCTCCTTTGTTTCTGTAGCTACAACTGCCCTGGGACAGACTAATCCAAATTTAGTTTTCATACATGAGGATTATATTTTACACTAACCCCATCATAGAGGGCCTATAGAAAAAAAGCCCCAATTAGGTCTTAATTGACAATTAATAAATAATGTCTTATAACATTAACAGACTTACACTAAGCTTCTTACAGTAACAAATGTGAATCATTCTTTTTTCATTATATACTGTATTACGGCTTTCATTACAGTTAAGTTTTTGTTTGACTTATTGATAAACTAGACATGAGCATAAAAAGCCATTCGAAAAAAATAAATCCATCTTATTAAACTTGATTAGATGCATACATAATAATAATAATAATAATACTAATAATATGCATGACTACAAAATGTCTACGTCTCTATGTGTCTTTTCTCTGGCTCCTCAAAAGCGTGATACTAAAACTCTTCCTTTTCGCAGATACAATCATAATGAGGACGGCTGTGTTAATGTCCTTCAGCCGCATTAGCTGCTCTCACTTGTGAATAAGGAGTCATCATCTTCATCATCGTCGTCATCCTCCTCGTCCTTGTACATACTGGGCAGGTCCTCGTAGTCCGACTCGCTGGGCTCGTTCTCCTTGTCGTCGTCGTAGTCGATGATGACAGAGGGCACGTCTCTGCGCTCCAGGGGGGCACACTGACTGCTGCAGTGCAATGCGGAGCTGCAAGGAACCATTATTTTATTAATACAAATACCAACAAAATAATGAGTCAAATCAGACCTGAGTCCACGTGACTTCCTAACCTCTGCACCCCAACAGCAGATCGAATGTGGAATACAATTGCAGAAGTCAATTTGAACACTTTTAAAAGGTATATACCAGCTGGGACATGCTCTGCAATTGCTTTAACCCTTTAATCTTCACTCCTTGAAGAAAGCAATGTACATTTTTCTTTTTCTGATTTTCTAAGATGCAGAAGCACTAATAAGAGAACCTTTATTTGTCCCACAGTGGGGAAATCTTGATGCTGCAACGCACATTCAGGACAGTAGTAAGAGCACGCACAACATACAATAAAAGTAGCTGCAATGCTTAGCTAGCTGTAAATGATTCAATATCAGTATATCTATCTCTATATAAAGTGTAAATGTATACATATCTGGATATTTAGATAAAGTGACAAACAGTGGACATTCTGAAATTGCAATAATGCACATGATTGCAGTATTTCAGATTTACAGATGAGATGACACGTACAGACTCAACATAAATAATTGAGTTTACTTTTTTTTTAATAACCTAGATTTTTTAATAGGCCTTTACCAAACGGTTGAGATGCAGCTTGATGGTAAAAGTGCCTAAAACCAAGTGATAGAGATGCCCCGATGAGGGCGATCTCAGTTCCAAGCTTCAAGTAGATATATTGACTCAAAATGTGATACACTAAATGGGTTGAGGAAACCATTAAAGGGTTAAGACCAGGAAACCAGATACATCCAGGAAACAATTAGGACCAAACCCTTAAAGCTGGCGGTAACTAAGGCAACCCAAAGTGAAACAATGATTCAAATATTGTGACTAATAAAATATTGTCATCAACTGAGAAAATTAAGAATTAAAGAAACATCCTTACTTTACTCTTCCATTGACATTTTTTGTTATAACAAAACTACGCAGCCCTAAGCCTGCAGCTCTTTCATGTAGAAATAGTAAAACTGGTGACACATTTGACAGATTGATTTTTAATCATAGTCTCGCTGTAGCTTCCTGCACCACAGTTACATAAGCACAAGCTTTTAGAATAATTGTGTTCCAAGTTAGGGCCATTACTTCCTTAACCCTGTCCAAATTGCTCTGGAGAAAAAAAGCGATCCTAATGTAGATTGTTACATAAGACCCAATCCCATTCCCCTTTCAGCAATAAGAAGCAGAGTGCAGCTGGTGATGTTATGTCAGGCCAAACACGGCGCTGTCCCACAAATACTCCAGTTGTGAACGAGGCCAGCGAGCCCGGTGAGAGTGACAGTGTTCTGGTTTAGACCTGAACGTACCGCGAAAGAGGAGGCTGCGACCTCAATACTGAGAAAGTGTGTCTCCTCTCCGCCATAACCCCTCCATCAACCCCATCAAGACGGGTGATCAACATTAGGATTCATTCCTATCACGGTGGAGTGACTCTTTTTGATAGGAACAGCAATAGTGCATCAAATTCAAGTTAAAAAGATGCATTTAAAAAAAATCTCTTAAGCGACAGATACATTTGTCCTAGAAAGTTTATACCCCTACACATTATGGTCATATTTCGGAGATAACGATGAAAGCTTTTTTCACACATTCCATCCATCCATCTTCTACCCTTTAATCCATTTCTGGGTCAGGGGGGTGGCAGTCAGAGATGCCACCCAAGTCTCATAGCACCAGCCCCTCACTGACCCTCTGCAGGTGGTGAGTCCACAGGAGGACGGCTGCTCTCTGAGTGTGAGCATAGCCTTGATCTTTCAGTGGGGGCTTTGGGCAAAGTGGGGTTAAGTGTCTTGCCCAAGGACACAACGACAGCAGTCATCAGTGGGAGTCGATGGAGAAGGTGCAGAGGTGGGAATTGAACCCATGACCTTCTGGCCTTAAGGCCAATGCTCTACCAACTGAGCTACTGTCGCCCAGTAGCTCAGTTTTTCACACATTGTTAGTGTGAATTCATATATGGTCAAATTAACACATTTTATATATTTTCACACTTTAATGACAAAATAAATCAATTAGAAGGTTCCATCTCCCAGTTCTCAAAAGCGTGTACTGCCCCTTTAACGTCAACAACTGTGTGTTTTGTGGTAGTTGTGGATGAGGGTCTCTGATGGTAAAGCTTCAGATTCTAAAAATGGTGAAACGCCTCCAGTTCCTGTACATTCCTGGGCCGCCTTGCATGAACTCCTGAGATCGGATCACAGCCAAAAGATGCAAATGTTTTTTGCCATATTTTGGAGATCATGAATGATTGTGGTTGTGTGAAGTAAGAAAAAAAAAAAAGCTTTCTATTTTCTATGTGTAGACTCAAAAACACACACACAGTTCATACATAGAATCTATAACAAAACACCACTGAATCAAATGGAAAAGACAGACCTGACACATTGCAGAGCGGAAGGAGTGGCGGCCAAACAGATTGTGTCATTTGTAATAAGTAAACGGGAGTTGGTACAAAGATAAATAATACTCTTTACACTAACACAGGCCTGCTGCAAGAAAGGTTTCAACGATGTCTCAATTAGTCTGCGGGTGCAATCATGTGCGAAAAGATTATGGTTTGATTTGGTGAAGCAGAAACAAACAGTAAATTCTTCATGTTGCATTGCTGTATTTATACTGCACCAAATGCTTTTATTCCTGGTTTACTTGTAATGTGCTATAAAAACCCTGAAAACCCAGGGGAGGGATAACGGTTATTAAGGACTCATACCTGGCTTTAAGAGGGGCTTGTTTCCATTACAACATTTCCATTGGCTGCAATATTCCAAAGTATGGCATGACCAAAGGGCATACTAATGAAGAATGCTCCAAAGTATGGTTTTAACTTTCCATTTTTCAAGGGATGATGTAGAGCACATGCCATCTGCAGTTCATCACAAAGCCAATTACTGGTTAAGGTTTCAAAGAAAGACTTGTGTTGCACTGGTATATGAGGTTGCTGTCTAAAACCAGGAAGTCCTCTCACATAAGTCCAGATCTCAGGTCTCTGCTCTGGCTTCCTGTGGCTCAGAGAAAAGGGTTTAAAACAGCTCTGCGCAAAAGTCTGTCCATGGCCTCGCAAGTACATCTTAGTCCCATATGAACCAACTCGGACTCTGAGGAGCACAGGGACTGGCCTCCTGCTGGTGCCCAGAGTCAGGACTAAAACATGGGGAGTCAGTGTTTCAGATTCATGCAGCTAAAATCTTAATGAAAATGCGAGACAGGCTGCTTCACTGGCAATGTTCTAATCCAAGTTAAAGCAGTTGTGAAGAACTATACATGTCCTCTTTTCTTAACGTGCTTTTCTCCGTTTATGATTAGAATGGTGCCCTTTCTTTTGTTGACAATTGTGTGTCTGGTTGGTTATCCTCACTTAAATGTCTTTTGAAATTATGCATTTATCTGCATACAATTTTATGCATGTTGTTTTTCATGCTGTGCGAGAGGTGCTGATTATATTGAAGCCACACCTGGTACCCTGTTGTTTTAACACATTTTATTGTCAAGAGTGATTTGCTTTTCTCCCCTCTTCATCAGTTTCCTTTCTTGTTTTCTCTTCCCTGTGTTGTACTGTGTTCTTGTAGAACATAATTCGAGTGCACCCTGGGCTTTTGAAGTTCTAAATTCATGCTATTGACAAACTTGACTTTTGACTGTGACGACAAACACACACCACCCTCCCCTCCCTCCCCCGGTGTCAGACCTGTTGATTCCACAAAAAATAAAACCACAGACTCCGAAATAGACATCGATCGGTCGCATGCCCCCCGTCCATTATTCCACTCACCTCTCGAAGCGCTGCATGGACAGTGCCAGGGTTTTATTGAGCTCCTCGATGATGCGGCTGGGCGTGTGGAGGCTGCCGTACTGGAGCTGGAGCGGGTGGTGCAGTGCCGACAGCCCCATGAGGTGAGAGGGCAGGAAGGGCAGCACCTGGGGAGTGCTGCACCGCTGGGAGTGGCCGCTGAGCTGGTTGGGCGTGGGCGAAGGAGAGTCTCGGCCCCCAGGTGGCACGCAGATCATCAGCTTCTTGGGCGGTAACGGCGGGGAGTGCTTACCCCCGGGTAGACTGGGCAACTTCAGCTGGAAAGAGTCTGCGGGCACAAAGTGAGACACAAAATGTTATATGAGAAGATGTGATGCAATTAGCTATTGTGCTAATTCCAGCATATTTAGCTACAGCTCCCGGTCCCTCCTTCCCACTTCGTCACCATGGGGAGGTCCCCCGACCTCGGTAACACCAACTCACTCGCACACTTAAAATCCACTCTAAAAACGTATCTGTTTAGACAAGCCTACTCACTAACATAACCATACAATTCTCCGTTCATGCTGCTTTTAATTGTATTTTAACTAAATGTACTTTTTACTTGTGATGTAAGGCGACCTCGAGTGTCTAGACAGGCGCCAAAGATTTTTTTAAAATTATTATTATTTTTGTTTATGTTGACGTTGTTGGCCTATTGATTAATAGGTTCTGTCCTAAATTCCAATAAGTTTGAGTGATTTCTACCATAACACCTGAGTTGCATGAAGAGGTAAGGCAACACGGCAGGTCTGAATACGTTTTTTGTTTCTTTTATGACATTATTATAAAAGCAATAACGCATATTTCTAACTATATAACATTTGGAGCCACTGGGGTCAAATATTATAACTATATAACAGACAGTAGCACTCCTAAAAAAAACAAAGGTCCCAGAGATGCAACTTCATGTATGTGCCTTTATATAATATAGATCATAGCTGATAAATTATGAATGAAAAAATGTATCGATATATTTTGAAGATTTTCATAAAACATACCGCTAATTCACTTATATACATATTTAACCAGGAAATCCCACTGATATTTCATAATCTCTTTTCAGGAAAGTCCCGGGGGCAGGGAGTCGAGAGGTACAGGAGCTGATGATAGAAAGATGATGAAAGATTATAACAAGTCTAAATGGGAAGCGTAATTATGAATGATATTTATTTATTTGCACCGCTTTTTAAACACGGTTTTTGAACAGTGAAATTCAACATAAACAATAGAAAATGTCAATGAAATAATTGAAAATCAAAATAATCAACAAAAGATACAGAAAAACAAAGACACAACCAAAAAGACAAAACTAAGACAAAAAAGTAAAATATATCACACGTATAATATTCTTTACCACAAATGGATTCTTTTACTTTGTTTTTAGCTGTACATTTCTCTAAAATGTCTTAATAATAGAAACTTGTTATTGATGTTCCAAAGTGCAGTGGTTTTCATTCGGGTGTTATTATAATGTTGCAAAATGACTTGGTGAAAAGCTTATCCCACGATCCCATTGTCTGCAGTCCTCAGCAGCGCCGGCTCTGGACAGCGGTGATGAGGCGTCAGCAGACAGTGGCTGGATTGAGGCCAGGGTAATGCCACTTTTCTGACAGACGGATAGAGAGTGACAGGCAGCTTGGAGCGCTGGACCTCAAGGGAATTAATGAGACTACAATAATCCGCTGCACGTGCTCCGAGCAGGTACAGACAAAAACGGGGGTGGGAAAGACTTTGTGTCAAGAAGTCTAAGCAAAGTAAACGTGTAGAGAAATGTTGTTTATGAAATGACACGGGTATGACACACAACCAGTGGATTATTATTAATACTGTTAAGGCTGATTGCCGGTATACAGCAGATGTTCCTCAAAACATACAAGATACATTTTAACTACATAAATGACGCATTTATAAATTTTTTACTGAAAATTGTTGAAAAATCTTCTCAGCTTCATGCTTTTGTGTGTGAGGGTCTGTGTGGTATAATGATATTACAAAATATCAATATATAATAAATGAAAAAACAAAAACTGTATATTCAAAACAAATAATAAATATTGTATCTAATAAAAAACGATAAGTCATTATTTTTAATTTATTATATACCTTTTTTTACGAGGAAAATTCCACTTAGATTTCAGATTCTCGTTTTCAGGATTGTCCTGGCCACAGAGAGAGGGGACCTTTGTACATGTTTTTATTGGCAGGAGAAACCGGAGCACCTGGAGGAAACCTACACATAGCATACTGCAAACACTATAACGACAAGCACAAACCACTGCGCCGCCATAATCTAACAATCGATTCTTTCTCCACACCCATATATAAATGAGTTTTTCCATATGAGGTCATTATGGATATGGTATAGACTCAGCCTCACCTGAGCTGTAGCTGGGCATCCGGGAGAAGGGCTTGGGCGGCAGAGCTGGTGGTTGTTTGTGGTAGAGGAGGGGCTTGGCGGGGGGCTCCTGCAGGTCGCCGGGGAACGTGACGGACTTCTTGGAGGGCAAAATCATGGACGACTTGAGGGGGGGCTCCTGAGTGCAGACACCATCCATGGACGACCGGAATTCTACTGCGGTGGAAAAACGAGAAGGTTCGTTTGATTAGGCAAATAAGGCGATGGATGTGAGGATGGCAAGACAGCAGGTCAATGAGAGAGACAGGTGCCCTACGCAACTTCTACGGTGAAGGGTACGATTTTGGCTTGGGTCCATTTAAGTGTGGTTTCGCCTGGAATGTCCCACAGAACGGCATAGAGAAAAGAAAGGAACTTAAACATGGATAGGTCGTATCTGCGGAGAGGAGAGCAGACCTAATGTGAGAATGGGTTTTTGAGCAGCAAGCTTGTTATCATTTCTAATTAAATAACGTGCAATTTTTCAATAACACTGGGGTTCAATCCAAGCAAAGAAATACAATTTTATAGCAAGAACGATGCATTAGTAACCATCAGAGGCGCAATGTACCTTTAAAATTATGTTTGGTAAACTTGGTATTGTGCATTGAAATGTTATAGGATCAAATTTGCCATGACCAGTTTAAGAGAGATCAATATAAAAAGAGATCAATGAAAAAAAAAAGTAAATATTGTTGAAAGAGATGGTAGACGAGTTGTGAAAATTAAAATTCTCAATCAAACAGATATTAATCCTTACGAAATCATGTTTAAGAATCCATTGGTGAAATCAATGAGAATGACTACGATTTTAAAGCATTTTGCTGGATGCCGTTTTGCAACACATTTTGACAATTCACCTAGAAACAAAAGCTTGTAATTGTTGAAGTCGTTTGCAAACAACAAACAAGTCTTACGTAAACAGCCTGCTAACCCTGTAGTTTCCAAATGTCTGGGATTGTTGGATTAGTGATGCAGTTCACCATTCAATCTTCCCTCAAATGCTAATGCTCCTGGATGTGTTTTAAATGTGCGCTTTGAACTCAATCCCACGATTGAAAACACAAGTCATACATTTAATCGGAATTAAAAAGTCATTAGTCAGACAATTATGCTGTATGTATGTATGTATATGGCCAACATTGTGCAGCCCTGGTTGGAGGAGCATCATAAGAACACAACTTACTACTATAGGCCGGGAACCAGACCCCTCCACGTTTTGTTTATTATTATTATTATATGATGTCTTATACCCTGGACAATAACGAGTTGATAGGACCCACTCCCAACTCAGCCCCAACTTTGCTCTCAGGGGGTTAAAAAAAAACCTGTTTTTTGGGGTCTGCCTTTAGCAAAATTTTGTCATTGTAAATATGACAAATCTGAGAATGCTGAGACCACATACATCGTCAAATCGAACAAAAATTGTGCATGGTTGCTCCTGACACATGGGGAAACTAGAAAAAAAAAAAAAGCGATTTTGGAGTTTGCTACATGACATAATTTTGCAAATGGCGAACCCCGAAAAACGTTTTTCTTTTAGCCACCATTATTGGAAGACTGAGGCACCCTCAGTGTAAGAAGGAGCGCTTTATCCCCACCGCTGTCAGACTGTACAATAAGTCACTTTAAGCCACTGTATAAGACTGAAAAACCTGCACTAATATTGACGCTATTTCTGATTGCCACTTTTAAACTGCCACTTTTTTTATGTACATAATATATCCTGCATTTAACATGTTTGCACATTTCCACCCTTTTTTGCACAATCTGAGTGTTTCTATCCATGCCAAATGTGACATGTACATTTCTCCTCCTTGTGAGATAAATAAAGAATATCTTATCTTATCTTCATAAATAGAGATCAGTTACTTACCAACAGCAACTTACATGGTCATACAAAGCATTCAAAGAAGTTAACAACAAATTTAAAGTGACTATACCAGACAAGATGGTGGTCAGAGACTCTCCATACTTATAATCTAATTATCTCCTATTACATTCAATTTAATAAAATGTTATATGTGCCAAGAGAGCTATTCAAGCCATCCAAGTCAGATGTTTCTTGTTGCCTGTAGACTTCATTGAAATGCTAATTTGAGTAGTTTGTTAGCTTGTACTTCCTGCAAGGACTTGGCAGAGAATTCCAAAAAGGTGCCAGTGAGAAGAAAGTAGATTACAATCCCGCAGCCAATCAGCTCTGCAGTGCTGGACTCCTTTTATTGCCCTATTTTTGGAACTAGTTCTATTTTGAGCCTGACACAGTAAAGATGCGACACGGTGCAGCAGTCTTTTTGATGCCGATGATGACGACGAAGGGGTGAAGACTTTGAACGCTGGATCATCACAACTGGGTCGTCACGGCAACAACACAGCATCCAATACAGTCATAAAGTTCGAGATTTTATTTTGAATATGTATACGAATCAAATGAGTTTTATTTTGTAACAGTCAAATTGAAGAATGAATTGTGTTGAGGTTAGGGTTAGGTTTTTAGGGACAATTTTTACCACTTAAAAGTTCAATAACAGAGGACTATGGGATGAATCATCTGCAAATTCTGAACAGAAAGTTGTGCATAGTTTAGCTACTAACAATTATTTTAGTAGTGGAAAACTTTTTGCTTTTAATTTTCATATTTTAAAAGGAAAATATGTATTATTACTCCATTATGTTTAGTTACCAATACAAACTAGCAATAATAACAAATGGCAAAGAATGTGTGTGTTTAACTGTATTATAATGTAGAATTGTACTGGTAAGTCCATTTACTGTATGAACTTGAAGTGTGGCTGAAAATTACTATGTGATGTCACACATTGACAATGCCTGCTGTGGCATTTAAGGAGGTCAAATAGAGGGTGTGAATTATTTTTTTTGTATGACTTATATATTCAAATGTTTAGAATACAAAGCAAAAGGTAAAATCCCTATGCCAAACAGACCAATCAAAACTAAAGCTGACGAGGTGTATGTATTTGATGTTTTTCTCTGTGCATCAAATCCATTACCACCTTTCTCTAAACCAGTGTCTTAGTTTGCCAACATTAGTGATGTCCTGCAATCACTGTTATCTTCCGTTTCTCTAACGACAGGACCATAAAAAAAGTGAATGAGACATCCGAAGTTTCTATAATGAAAGACGATATCTGCGAATGTCCCGTGGCCACAGCCCAACCCCACACGTTCTGTGTTGCAATCCACCATTTTAAAGTTCAATCCTGGAGTTGATTAAAAGGAAAAGCCATTATCAGTATCTCACCTTTTTCGAAAATCTCCTTAAGCACTCCTCTTTTGATCAGCTCGTCTCGGCTCTGCCTCATTGACATCTTCCTCTCCAAAGCTGAGGGCAGAACAGGAGAGAGCTATTTAGTATTGACACAACGCAAATAGTGTAGAGCTGGTGTGGTCTGCTTTGAATGATGCCTGAAAGATCCATATTTATTCTTTAAGTAAGTATGTCATCTTTAATTATATAGAACCTTTGACAGACCAGTCATTTTTCCTCTCACTACGCAAAGAGATGAGAGCGGGGTCGCCAGTACAGAAGGCGTATGACGGATCCATTTTACATGAAACCAACGCAGACACAGGGAGAACTCCACACAGAAAGGCCTGGAGGTGGAGGTTAGAGTAGAGATGAGGGAATGGTATGGTATAATAAACATTACCCAAAAGGTGAGATACATAGTACCTGGTTGTATCGGTGCCGATTTAATTTTACAACAACCTGCTCAGCGACTACGGGTGTAAATTAGCACTGCTGCTACAACCTGGTACAATGCATCTCTCCTTCTGGCTAATTTTTATTGTACACTGTCCCTGTAAAAAAAAAAAAAACATACCGTACCATACCATACGATACCATAGTCCCTGAGCAGGTTGTTGTAAATCAGTTGCAGGACCAGATTGGCAAAAAGGTCAAATATTGATTTTGTTGCCCCCTTAATGGACAATTGGAATTTTGAGTCTATTTTGAATAAAACTTAGTGAAGATATTTAATGAAAGGCCGATTTTGCCTTTAAAAAAAATCTGCAATTATTCTTCTCCTCAATATTGGAAGTTTCAAATCCATTTTCAATTTCCCTTCCCATTCCAACGCAATTGTAAAAGTATAGAAAAAGACACCCACATCAAATACAAGCAAAGTTGTGCCTTCTCTGAAAACACAGGGTTCTTTGAAGACTCCTTGTTTACACTCGCGTTCCACTCCCCTACGGAAGCCCCCGAGCGAAGCGGAGGCGGAACCACAGAAGACACGCACCAAACCTTGATGTAAATTTCTCAATTGACATTTTTCACATTGTCCATTTCATAAAAATCCAATAAATTCAAATCATTTCAATGTCTTGTCCAATACTAAGATACAGACAAAAGCGGAAGAGATTTTTCAGATCGAGCTGGCAGTAAAAGGCAGGTGAATCCACATACTAGAACCCTAACCTAACCCTAACCACATATTAGAACTCAGTGTTTGCAAAATGTAATATTTCAAAACAACCAGTGTTTGAAAATGCCATGTACAGGAACAGAAAGGAAAATTTTCAGGGAATTGAAATCGTAATTAAGGTAATCAAGCAGTACTAGCTTCTTTACACTTTTATCTGATTATGAGATAAAAGAACCTTTATTTATCCCACAGTGGGGAAGTTTCAATGTTGCAGAGCACATATAGGACATATAGGACAGCAGAAACACACAGGGAGCACACAAATTATACAATAAGTAGCTCCTGTTTCTCAGCTAGCTGTAAATCCTTTGTCACGACCCCTTCCTCCTCTCTGTGGTCGTGCTCTGTACTGCCATCTACCTCTGTACAGGTGGAGCTGTGGGCGGACCTTGGAGCGTGGAGCGTCAGGGCCCGACGCGCCACGCCTATTTATGGACCGGCCTGCTGACAGCCTCACTCTCTCTCAGCCTGCGTCCTGTGCCACACCACTTTGTTTTCTGTTCCCGCTATGGTTTTGTTCTGCATCACACTTCACATCGCACCATATGAACACACAACCATTCACTCGCATACACCACTGATACAGACAGTCACACCTCATTATTATTGTTACTTTGGTACTTTGGGTTAATCTTTGTTTAATAAACACCCTTGAAGTATCCATTTACGGTGTCTGCGTCCACATTTGTCATGGCCTTGAGCCAGGTTATGACAAATTGGGGGCTCGTCGCGTTTTGAACCTGTTTCTTTGTAGTTTGCGTGTTTCGCTGTTCATTTCCTTGTGTAGTGGACGCTGTACCCTGTGTTGGACGTGCGTGAAGGTGCGTATTTGTTATGGTCGGCTTTTCGGGTAATCTAAAGCATTTTGTTGGATAGGCCTGTGTGTCTGCTGTATATTTTCGTGCTAGTAGTGAGTATACTGTGTATTTGTAGCCTGTGGTTGTGTTGCGTTCGGGTGTCCTCCGTGCGTAAAGTTTGGAGCGGATTTGGCACGCCAATCTTTTTTAGTGTTTGCGGGACTAGACCGGTATATTAACTGTGGCAGATAAATTGTAAAAACGGGTGCATTTTCACAGGAGCATTTGTTCAAGTGGTTGGTTTTTTTTAGTGTAAAATATTGCTTTTGTAGGCGAGTGGAGTGGGAGAACTTTACGTGTGTATCGGCTAAATCAGTCACAGCTGGGATTTGTGCTGGTGTTTGGTGGAGGAGCTGAACCTGGTAGGCTTAGCGGTGTTTCCCTCTATGGGCTCACTGCATTGGGGGGTGTAGTGTGGCGGCGAACGTGGCTGAAGCATTGCTTGGGAGCGCATCCGTGGTGTCCAGTTGGCTGCAGCTCGCTAGTCTCCTGGCCCATCGGGCTACAGCGCATAAATACCCACCATATGAGGTCGCACGAAGACTAGGGGGGAGCTTAGATAGTTGGATCCTGCGTTAGAATAGCGGGGAAGCTCTTCCGCCGAGGCCGTGGCCTCTGGTTGCACAAATTTCTTGGCAGAGACTGACTAGGCCTGGGTACATTTCTTTTGGTCTGGTTTGGATTACGTTAAATATTTGATAAGATGTCTGATGTTGAGTTGTTTATTGCTTCACCTAGTTGGAAACTTTTAAAAAAAAATTAAGAAAAGAACATTTGATAAAACTGGCTGATCATTATGGGGTGGAATTTGAGGGAGGCCTCAAGAAAGTTGAAATTAAAACCCTGTTGGAGGAAAGGTTGGTAGGCCTGGATCTTTTGACTCCGGGGGCGGAGCAATCAGTCCACAGTCAAGGCCTCACATTTCAGCAGCAGAAGGAACTCCTATTGTTGCAGCTTGAAAATAATAAGCAGCAAGTGGAGATGGAACGGATTCGTCTACAGCGTGAGGACAGGCGACAGTCGTTGGAGGAGGATACGGCTCAGTCTCGCCGGTGTGATGTGAGTAATCTGAGGTGGTTACCACATTTTAATGAGAAAGATCCTGACACATTTTTTCTTCATTTTCTTTTGAGATTGCTGCAGCCTTTCCTTAGCCATGCACCCTGCCATAAATAAACGATGACGAAAACCATTAACAAAATCAATCAAGTTTTTTGGCGGTGCGGCCTCCAACAAACCATGTTTTAATGCAGCCAAAGGGCCGGGGACCGAGTGGCCAAAAACAAGTTCGTTTGGGCTGAACCCCGTACTATCCCGGACGAGCCCCCAATTTGTCATAACCTGGCTCAAGGCCATGACAAATGTGGACGCAGACACCGTAAATGGATACTTCAAGGGTGTTTATTAAACAAAGATTAACCCAAAGTACCAAAGTAACAATAATAATGGGGTGTGACTGTCTGTATCAGTGGTGTATGCGAGTGAATGGTTGTGTGTTCATATGGTGCGATGTGAAGTGTGATGCAGAACAAAACCATAACGGGAACAGAAAACAAAGTGGTGTGGCACAGGACGCAGGCTGAGAGAGAGTGAGGCTGTCAGCAGGCCGGTCCATAAATAGGCGTGGCGCGTTGGGCCCTGACGCACCACGCTCCAAGGTCCGCCCACAGCTCCATCTGTACAGAGGTAGACAGCAGTACAGAGCACGACCACAGAGAGGAGGAAGGGGTCGTGACAGGACTCGGTTGGGCCTGCTGGCGAAATTGACAGTCTGGCGAATGGTTACTTTGTCCAAAACGAAATACTGTTTAGGAAGTGTTCTCTGAGTGATCTGGGTGTGCGCGATGCTTTATTTCAGCTTGTTGTCCCTGCTGAATATCGTTCTGTGATGTTGAAGGTTGCTCATGAGGAGACGGGTCACTTTGGCGTGCGTAAAACATACTTAAATTTGCTTAAACATTTTTTTTGGCCTCGCGTTAAAAAGGACGTTTCAGCTTTCATTAAAACGTGTCATGTGTGTCAGTTGACTGGAAAGCCAAACCAGAAGATAATACGTGCACCGTTGCAGCCTATTCCGGCTATGGGCGAGCCGTTTGAATATCTCATTATTGACTGTGTTGGTCCGCTGCCCGTTGCAAGATCTGGCTGTAAATACCTTCTCACGGTAATGTGTCAAAGTACGCGTTATCCAGCGGCATTCCCGTTAAGGTCGATCACGACAAAAGCCGTGGTAAAAGCGCTGTCACAGTTTATATCAGTTTTTGGTATTCCTAAAGTGATTCAAAGTGACCGTGGGTCTAACTTTTCGTCTCACATGTTTGCGCAAGTTTTAAAATCACTGGGCGTAAAACACAGACAGTCCACAGCCTATCATGCGCAGAGTCAGGGTGCGTTGGAGCGCTTTCATCAGACGCTCAAGTCTCTACTGCGTGCGTATTGCACGGAGCTTCAGAGGGACTGGGAAGAAGGGCTCCCTTGGCTCATGTTAGCTGCGAGAGAGGCTGTCCAGGAGAGTACGGGGTTCAGCCCAAACAAACTTGTTTTTGGCCACTCGGTCCGCGGCCCTTTGGCTTCATTAAAACATGGTTTGTTGGAGGCCGCACCGCCAAAAAACTTGATTGATTTTGTTAATGGTTTTTGTCATCGTTTATTTATGGCAGGGTGCAGGGCTAAGGAAAAGCTGCAGCAATCTCAAAAGAAAATGAAGTATGTGTATGATCGTCGTTCGGAGTTACACGAGTTTAGTCCAGGAGATCAGGTCCTTGCTCTTACACCTGTTGTGACGTCCCCGTTTCAGGCTAAATTCACTGGTCCATATACTGTTACAGAAAAGGTGACTGATTTGAACTATTTGCTTGCAACACCAGGCAGAAGAAAGTCTACACAACTCTGTCATGTAAACCTGTTAAAGCCTTATTATCAGCGTGCCCCGGTCGTAGAGGCCCATGGGGGGGATGGCTCCGTGCGTCCTGCGCTGGCCGTTGATACTGTGGTTGTAGCTCCGGAGGATAGTGTCCCGGAGCCGGATGACAGCT